TTATCGTTTCCACTCACAGAAGATAAGTTTGCTGTAGAACAATGCTGTACACACCAGCAGCAGCCTCACGCATCCCCTGTTCACCGTGTCCCCTGAGGGCCTCACTTTCTCTTGTGCTTGTTTTCATCTCGCGTTGTTTTGTGCAGTAACGGGCTGCACAGGCTCATCATCTGTAACACACGCCTGGGCCTGCAGGAGGCTGCACCGCCCAGGCGTGTGTGAGTGTGCCCTGTGGTGCTTGCCCAGCGACAGAATCGCCGAATGCCGCACTTCTCAGAATATATCCCCACAGTCAGGCCGCGCGTGGCTGTGATGGGATTTTTAAATTTTCAAAAGATACCTTATGTATTTTTTATACAAAGTGCCGTAAACATACAACAAAAATAAAATTTATCTTCAAAACTGTAAAGATTTGAATGGGATCCTGCTAATATTTGATCATTGCCTGGCTGGATTTTCAAATTCCTAATTACAAAATGCTCACAGTGCTCTGAGAAGTACTCATGTTTGTTTTAGCAGTGTATTTCCCAACTCATGTATGAGGAAAGTCCTTATACAGCGGTGGGATCAAATGCCTGCAGCTTTCTCCCAAACGTGTTCGGAACGGACACGACCTGTTACTGACCTCGCCACTCTCGTAGCCCAGCACCCGACAGGGCTCCCTGCTGCCTCGCCGTCTGGCAGCTTTTTTGTCATTTCACGGACGTGATTCACTTTTTGTTCTTACATCTCACTTGTTTTCCACTGGAATTATTTTTTAAATATACATCTTTTATCAACATTTGTGTTTGCAGTTTATGGCCAGCTGTAAAATTTTCTACTGTTTCAACGTTAACTGGTGCCAGAAACAGATGGAATTAACATATATTCACTGATTTGTTCTTGTTTTCTAGTTCATATGAATGTTATATATAAAGATTGCCCTCCCCCCCAAGAAACCATTGGAATTTAATTGCTTTGGCTCATTATTCTGCAGCTTGATCTTAAGCATGATTAAATGATACTTGTAAGCTTGGTAGTTCACAGTGCTATACAAACAGTGCCATCCACAATGGAAGATTGACAAGTGGGTCTTTCATCATCACTGATGAAAGTTACAGGAATGAATTTCTACAAAACTATTGTCCTTTTTATCTTTAAACTTTTTTTCTCTTAACATACTGTCCTAAATTTTTATTTTGAAAGAAAACATGGTGCCTAAGGAGGGTAGTTATAATGAAACTTAAATAATTCACTTATATTTCTTTGCCAATGAAATAAATCATGTTCTGTTAGGTTTTTCTAATAAGTTCTAAAATATGTCTTTCAATGTATTGTACTATTATTATCAAAGAAAAAAACTCAACACTGTCATCCTCCCAAATCAAATATTGATGTTTGTAAACAACAGATTTGGCAGTCATTCAAAGGCAAGCAGAATTAGGCTTTTCATATTTTCTGTGTTTTTAATCTTTATTTGTACTGTTGACACTATTTCACAGGTCCCCATTTCCCACCCCCTTTGCCCACCTCCACCCCTTCCCTCAGGCCATCACCACACCCTCGTCTGGGTCTGTGGATTATGCATACACGTTCTTTGGATAATCCCTTCAAATATATCTGAGCCGCTGTTAATTGCTCACCAAGTCATATCAGATACACTCTCTGCAGGAACATTCGCCAGAGGTGCTGTCTGTTCAAGGGGGAAATTTTCACATCGCATAGTCAGCCTCATTTATTTTCCAGACCTCTAAATTTTTCATTCTAAATAGCAGCCTCTCCCTTTATGAACCATAGGATCTTTATTAATTAAACAGAGTCAACAGGACTGATTTATTTGCTCCCTTCTCAGTTGAATTACCAAGCACATAAATCAGGAAGGAAATATTTCTAGTGCTAGAATGTTCTCCAAGCCAGTAAATCTGGGGATTATCTCATCACACTGATTATGTCAAAGCTCTTCCATTGCAGTGCTCACCAGGACACAAAACCGAACACCCAATATGACATTATAGGAAGAATTCCAAGTTTATCCTCCAGTAACCTGAAGGCCCTAATTACCAGTGAAAGCAGCCGCAATCATGTACTGACTACATACTCATGGCCAGGCACTTTGCATGCATCGCCTGAGTCTTAGCAGCATTGGCTCTGCCTGCCTTCACCATAGACCCAGGGGCGAAATGCATGCTTGAAGCATAGAACACTCTCGCTGCTGCTGCTGCTGCTGAAGTTTTATTGGTTTTCCCAAATGAGTAGCTGCTGTAATTGCATTTCTTGGTATTTAGGAGTGTGTTTTTAAAACATACAGAAAAGCATATTGTGAACCTAAGATTAATCAGTGAATACTTCGTGGCATTATTTTTGTGGCTGGTATAATATCCGATGTTGATTTATCACTAAAAAGTACTTGAAGTTTACTGGTGAGGACGACTTTCTGGTGGAACTTTCTAATATTTATGTTCAGAGTCCAATCACTACATTTCTTTCCTAGGCATTTTGCTTTTGGTTATTTTAAATGATCAATTTAATGGAATGTTCATGTGGGGGTATTTATAATGTTTCAGGCATGAGAACATTATTTTTTTTAAGTCAGGTAGTTCCCACCCTCCCCAACTAAAGCATATTGTAGGGGAGGGAGGACTCACACTAGTTTCAAGTCTCTTCTTTGGATTTGCATATTGTAAATGTGCTGATTAATATTAAAGTGCGCATACATATGTGTGTATATATATATCTCAAGGTTTTAAATCTGTTTCATCAGGCTTTTTCCTCTGTATCCTAAACATGTACTTTGTGCAGTTTGGTGGGTCCTCATTTCACCTTGGGTGGCACTCTAGACCGCTTCTGTTATACTCATTAATATTTATTTAAAATCACTTTCCTCTTAGGCAGCCTTCCAGTTTTACAAAGGCCTTGAAATGAAGTTAACCTGTGCAGCATCAAATGCTTTAGTAAGTTCAGCCTCCATAATTAGAAATTCCATTAAACCATTTTAGAGATAATAGTAATGTGGATTACTGTCAAGAGAATAACGATTCTTTGTACCACTTAACCACACTCGAAAGGTTTTGAAACCGTGAAGGTGTCTGGGCCTTATGACCTTCACCTTGATTCTTAAACAACTTGAACTCTTACCCAGTCATGAACCTATCAGTTATTTTCTTCCATGGAAAGATGCATTTTTTAATATTTAAACAGACAAGTTTAACAGTTTGTATAGAGGGATATAGATAGAATTTAGAGTATCGAATTGGAGACAAACCAAATGCAGTAAAGACAGTGACAGTGACCGTTTGTACTAGTCTAACATTTTCAGCTATTGCCATCAACCGCCACCAAGCGCCATGTTGGGGTAATTTCCCAGCTGTGTTCTATAGAATGCTAACCCCACGTGTGTGCTAATAGGGACACACTAGTTTGAAAAATATCACCTACTTGGAAAGTCAGAGAACACAGTAGTGTATTCAGAATTATGGGGAGTCCTAGAGTAAAGAAACCTACCTACCTATAGGTTTAACCTAGTATATCTCAAATTTATTTGACCATACAATTCTCTTCTTCACATAACATTTGTTAAAGACCCTTGGGACACACTTTGGGAAATGGTATCCATGTAATGTGGGAGATACTTTCAGATCCACAATCATATTTGATCCTCAAAAGCACCAGCACTCACAACTTGCTCTGAAACCTGCTTCTGGGGTGGAGTTTGGATAGAATAGGGGTGGGGGAGACTGTGGTAGGAAGGATGAGGGCATTGGGATAAACCAGGGCTGGGAAGAATATCCAAGGAAAAGAAACAAATCATCCCAGTTCCAGAAGCTGTCTGTCCAGCACGCAGGTGCTGGGCAGATAGTGGCGGATTTTGGAGATCCATCCAGCTGCAGGCTGGGTGTTGGGTCCTCATTCTGAGAACCGCTGCCCCGCCTCACCCTGCAAGGGCATGCTTTGTGATGTTTCACCACTGCCCGAATATGCCCTCTACCTTGTTCATATCCTTCCCTTCCTCTGCTTCTGTGTTTCCCCCAAAATGCCTAGTCATTTGTTCTGAGAACATGGTAGGCACCTTGAACTCAAAGAGAAGAATCAGTTCTTGCCCTCAAGGAGCTTCATATGCATTAAGAGGACCTAAAAATAATCAGGCATTTATCATATAGCATAATAGGAAATAAGACCCTGGACACAGATTGGAGGAATCTAGAGGAAGAGTTGGTTCTTTAGAATTAGTAAACTCAATTAACAGAATGGGAGAAAGGAAGATTGTAGCAGAGAAGAAAGCACTGCTGAAACAGGTTAAAAAAAAGAAAACTCGAAAGTATTCCTTATTATGGAGTATATATTTGATCCAGAAGGCATTGGTCGGCACTAGATTTTTAGCAAGTGAGCACCAGCAGTGTATGTCATCAGAAAGATCTCTTGGCTAGAGTGGAGCATGAATTAGAGAAGAACTAGACCAGAGACAGAGAGGCGAGAAATTCCAGCGACCCAGGCAGTAGCCTCAGAAAGGAGAGGAAGGAAGAGATCCCAGAGATGCTACAGCGGGACAGTCACAGGACTTGCTGACCGAATGAATGTCAGATAAGGAAAAGCGAGGAATCGAGATGAACCACTGTCCTGCGTTTCTTGTCACCAAAGAAGAAAAAAAGAAGTGGTTTTTGGTGAACCTTAAAACACATCTAAAACTTATTAAAACACTGGATCCAGGCCCTGATTGGGCAGCTCAGTTGCTTAGAGCATTGCCCCAATACACCAAGGTTTCGGGTTCAATCCCCAGTCAGAGCACATACAAGAATCAACCAATAAATGCATTAGTAAGTATAACAACAAATCAGTACCTCTCTCTTTTTCTCTCTCTCTCTCTCTCTTTCTCTCTCTCTCTGCCCCCTGTTTTCCCCTCCTCTCTCTTTCTAAAATCAAATTTTTTTTGCAGTAGGGTAGAAGTGATGTCTCTAGGGTAAGTACTTGCATGGATGGGTAGGACCAGCTTCCAGATTGTAACTGCGTTCCTTGTTCTTCTCAAGTCACGTAACACAGACCACGTCCTGGATCCATCCCGTGATGAGTGCGCTGACCCTGTCTTGCTCAGAGGAGAATGAAGAGGATTGCTCCAGAGAACTTCCCGACCGGAAGAGCTAGTGGTTTTCTGTGGGAAGCTGAGCTCCGTGGCCTTGCAGCACCTTGGTCTCCCCGGAGGACTCAGAGACGCAATGGTCTGAACCAGGAGTAAGCAGGACCTGTCGACGCTCTGAAACAGAGACTCCGCACCAAAGGCTCATTTTATAAAACTTTTTTGTACAACTGTGTACATTTACAGGATCAATCGCCATGACAGTAGTTCTTTAAGAATAATCTAGTCCTATTTTTTTGAAGTCATATATAATTAGACTTTATAGGATGTATACTTTTTATATATAATCAGAACTTTGCAATTTTATTTACAGTTCTTTATGGAGTGTCTAATACATTGATTTCTAGGATTAATACTTAGGTTGGAAAATTATGTGAATATAGTGAAACACTTCATTTATTTGGAAACTCACTAACCTTGTACATTTGTATCTTAGGAAAGCAATTAAGCAAGCTTTGGGGATTTTTCCTGATGATCCCAGGTGGACCACGATCTCCCAGGCTACTGAATATAGCCTGCGTTTTATGGGGCTTTCCCATTTACATAATGCTTTCCTGGCCCGGTTTTATTCACACCCTCCAACACACCGTGAGGCAGATCCAGTGGGTGATTTTTACCCTGTTTTTTGTTTGTGGAAATAGTGGTTCAGAGAAGCGAGGCGCCTTATCCTAGGCCTTCTGACCCTCTGTCCCGCCCCCTTTCCACTGTGCCCTGCTGTCCCATCAGAGGCAGGTCCCAGCCCAATGCACAGGGCACGTGGCTCTGTTGACGCAGCTGAGCTCCACGCCGTGCACTCCAGTGGCTGCCAAGATGCAGCAGGCACCCCTTCAGTTAAACACACCCCCACATAACTCCACTGTGGTCCCAGAAACCCTTCCCCCTTCTGCCTCCCCAAACCCTCACCAGGTAGGAGCATGGTTTTGTGATGTTTGAGCAGGCTTCTCGGGGCTGGCTCATATCAAGGATCTGCCTTGCTTAGGTTGTCCTCGCCAGGCGGAGCACTTGAGGAGCGTTGATGAGAAGAGGGGCATCCAGAGTCTCCTCTGCTCTCGAAAGAGATGTCCTTGAACCCTTTTTCTCCAAGTTCAAGACTGACACTGTTATTGCTGATACCACCCACCAAACTAATTATGCTTTTGATCTTATTTTATTTTATTGTAAGGATGCTAGACAATTTCTAGCGGGAATGAGCCATTGACTTGGAACGCTAAAGATTTTCTTTCAGTTTAATCATTTAAACCCAAGGCTAGAAAATGGAGGGGCTTGTGGAGTAGGGAGGAAGTCATTTCAAATGTCCAGGGCATTAGGTACCAACTGAAAAATAAAAAGGCACTTATTCTTATCCAATGTTGTATTTTTAGGTAATGTACTTAGAAAGTGAGTAAGAATCAGTTACTCAGAATACCTGTTCCCAAACCATACCTAATAACACAGAGAGGCTACTGGTGATCGCTCTGGCCATTTTTTTTCTCTTCCCCTCTCCCCAGCCCTCCCCCTCCTCTCCTCCTCCCCCCCTTCTCTCGTTCTTCCTCTCTGCCTCCCCTCCTCTGAAATACAAGTAGGGAAACAGAACTCAAACCTTGAACATCATCTGATTCAGTGATTTTTCAAATACTTTCTGGGGAAACAGACTCATTTTTCAAATGAATTCTTGTACAGAATCACAATATATATATAAAAGAATTTTTAAAATATTGCTACTCTGCCTAAAACAAGACAAAGGCCTGGAGCCAGGTGCAAGCAGCTCCCTGTCACTGCCGTGCAAACCCAGAGCTCCGTGGGAGCCTAGGGTGAGGATCGTCAGTCCCAAGGTCACACAGAGGCTGTCACCAGGTCAACATCAGACCTAGATCCTAAGCCTTGCAGTCTACCAGATCTCCTATGGCATGTAACACAGACGTGTATTGTAAATACATGTGTATGATGTGTTCACCCATACATTCCTGAATGGATGTAGGATTTATAATTTATGTCTTGAATAATAATAACATAAGGTCAAATCTAGGCTGATAGGTAAGTCAGTCATTAGACCAGAGAAAAGTTTCTGAATGGCTGGAAAGGACTTGAGTTTCACCTGACAGCTGTTTGAATATTAGGAAGCTTCAGGGAGACAAGTTTTGAGAGAGGGGCCTCTTTCTGTGTGCCCCCCATCCATGCACGAGATTCTCAAAAACCTGAAGTTACTTTAAGTTAGTATCCGTAGTCATAAAAGTACAGACTTTTTGTTGTTGTCAAATTAATGGTATGATATTTCCCTCCCCCCTGCTGGAAGGGTTTTCCTAATTTGTTTCTAGTGAGGAGACACAGAGGAGATGCCAGAGTCACTTGAGGTCAAGGTCTCGGGCGCCTGTTTCACTGACAGACACCTCATGTGTTAACTTTACTGTTTTGAGCCACTTCCCTCCCTGCTTCTGACAAATACCTAATGGGAAAGGCCTATAGAATTTTATTGTTACTTATTAAGCATTTCGGTGCCATACATGCTGATTGGCAGTTTGTATATATTATTTCATTATCTCCTTAAAACAGTCCATGAGGTAGAACCCCGAACTGCCCCCGTTGTGCAGAAGAAACATAGCTTTAGAGAGAATTCCAGTCTTGGCCTTAGAGTCACACAGTGCCCGCGTACAGGAGCTGACGTTTCAGGCAGGTCTCTCACACAGCCTTCTCTGGGTCACCGTGCAGGATGCTCGGGGCAGAGCTGGGGTCTGCAGGTCCGTTTTACAAAAAAGCAGGTTCCAGTTCGGCACAGTAAGAGCTTCCTGGTGGTTAGCCCTGGGAAGGGATTCCCCAGGAGAAAGTGGGAGGGAGCACTGTCCCAGGAGGCATCCCGTCCATCTGAGCACCTTAGTAGTAGCAGGAAGGGTCGGGATCAGAACTGACTGCATCATGTGAGCAGTCTCCCAGAGTCCACTCTTCTCCATGCTGCTGTGACTCTGGACCAGCAGATCACTGCCCTAAGACACACTCAAGGAAACACATGCTAACGACTCCTTGACTGGCTTTTTCCATTGCAAGTAGAACCCCCAAACTATTGCTTGGTGAGTTGACATTTACATAGCCAGGCTTTCTTTTATATAAATCAACCCTAGCAACATAGTCATCGTAAACCCCTCTCCGCTGACCCACTGACTCAGACTTTTAGGGCTGGGCTGTCTCCGTGTTCTGATGTCCTTCCATCTCATTTTACCGAGAGTGACGGAAATGAGCCATCCTTACTCACTCTCAAAATATTTCCCGAGCACCCACAATGGGTCGAGCAAGGGCACGACCAAGGTGAAGTAGGGTGAGGGTCAGCTACTTCCTAGGTTCTGTCTGCAGGCAGGTAAAAAAGTAAAAAGCTGCTCAGGTGGCCAGAATTGGACAGCTTCTCTGAAGCTTTTGAATTTTAAAAACAACCTATTTCCATGAACAATCAGACAGTATAAAGTTGAATAAAGTCAAAGAAAAAAAATAGCCCATCTCCCCAGAGGTAGCCATCACTAATGTTGGATGAGTATTTTTACTCAAGGACATCATACTGTAAAGTAGCTTTCTTCTGACTTCATACATCGTGGTCATTTTTTCATATCAATACATAGATTATTGTCACATTTCAAATGTCCACATAAATGATCTGCACCCGGGTAACTCATGTGCAGTCAGCAAGCTATCGATGAACGCTCAGGCTGTTTGAGGTCTTCTGTCACTAGCAATGGGTGTCACAGTGAACATTCTTATATTCGTATTCCTGTACTTCTTCAGTCCTTTTCCTCGTGTGTCTGTGCCCTCTGGTGCCAATACCTACCTACAGTAGGGTTATAACGATAAAAGTACATTGTCATGTCAAAATGGGCTCATTTTGATTTTGTTAGGTGTTCATAAATTTTCCCCCCTAAAAATAGGATCAATTTACACGACCACCAATAGCATATGAGACCTGCTTTTTGCTGTATCACAGGACTTTCTCGGGTCTTGAGATTGGAAGTAACTTTTCTGATTATTTGTGTGCTTGGAAAGGGTAGCTTTTCCTTGCATTGTTGCCAGAAGACCAGAACTTTTTCATTGGGGGGTTTTAGTTGTTTTTTTTTTTTTAGCAGCAGAGACCAAATCTCTCCATAGAGGGGCATCTAGTAGTGACCAATTCACTGTGTGTCAAACACATCGTTACTCTTAGCTTTTTACCTGAAAATACTTACCTTTCCTACTTTACATATAATGGTTGTGAGAGCCAATTTTTAAATGAACTCACTTGGGCAAGAGCCCTCGGTGAAGTGCAAAGCACAGCACAAACACATCTATAAGTTCTTTGAGCCTCAGTTTCCTCATCTGTAAAAGGATGGTAATGATTCCCTGCCTCTTCCCAAACCACTTCAACTCTGCAACCATTTCCCACACACCTGCTGAATGCCAGGCAAGATGTAAGGTCTTGAAGTTACCATGGTGAATTGTACTGATTCCTAAATCAAGAAGCTCATAACTCTACCGTCTTTTTCCTTTATTTCTTTTTTTCCCCAGAAACCTTTTATTCTTCCTTAAAGGAGTAAGAAGTTAAGGGTTTGTTTAGTAAGAACCCCTGAAGAAACACTCTTAAATTTGAATAATTCCAAAATAATAACACCCCTTGAGTTGAAATGGGAGAAAAGAAACATACTGTATGAAGAGCCTCTCTAATAATAAATGCAAAGCAGCTGTAAAAATACAGAGTCAAATGATACTTTCATAAAGTGTTTGCAAAATTAGAAAATATTATTCTTTAGGGGGAAATGGACATTTTTGTTTTCTCTGCTAAATGAAATGCAACATTTTCAAGGCTCAACAGACTGGAGTTTGAACAATATGCAGAGCAGAAAGAACTGAACTAACATTCAAACAACTCACATGCTCTATTGCCTGTTACTTTTGAGAAGGTGGGAAGAACTTCAAGCAGAACGTGCCTGTGGAGCTTCACTTTAGAAACAAAACACCCAAAATGTCTTAACCACATGTGATATCGTTGCCTGCATACTGATTACGTAAACGCTAAATGCAGTTCTGTATTTGTTTGCTTCATATGATTTTTACATTTAAATAATACTACTTCTGTTAACTTTCTTGTTCCATTTTTACTCTCGGGTTGGTGGGGCATGGATCTGAGGGAAAGTGATTTCCCATCACCAGATTATTTTTTACCATGTTACCCTGTCTAGTTTTTACATTGTGTGTCAGTTTGGTCGTGATTTTTTGTTTATTGCCTTTCTTAACAATAGGAGCAATAATCGCAGTAAGCTCCGCGAAGGTAGGTATTTCTCTGTCCTTGGCACCATTGCGTCCTCCGGATCTCCCCACAGTGCCTGTCACACAACAGGTGTCGAGTGCACACTCGTGGGATTGAATATGTGGTGTGCTGCAAAACTAAGACTCAGTTCCAGCTTAACTCTCCTGCCTTGGTGTTTACTTAGTCCCTTCAACACTTACCAAAGTGCTCTTGGGAGCCAGGCACCTTGCTAAGTGCCAGGGATACAATGCAGAACAGACGTCGTGATCCTAGCCCCCATGTAATCTATGGTTTAGGGAAAGAACATTCAACTTCAATTAACCAGAGCCTTTCCACTTATTCTCTTTCTCCCATATTTGAAGTTCTAGGCCATTCAATGTTGCTTCAAGAAAGAGACTTTTCTTGAGGTGATGGTTGCATGATACAGTGTGCAAATAGTGCTTTGTTGACTTGCCCACTTGAAACCTGTACCATTTTGTGAACCAGTGTCACCCCTAAGGATTCAATAAAAAATAAAATAAAATTAAATTAAAAGGTATGACATCAGAAAGCAGAGGAATACATACTCTGAGTTTTAAAGGTCTAGCTCCTCAAGGTCCTGGAGAGGATCCGAGATTTGAACCCAAGACAGGAGAGCACACACAGGAAGAGCAAGGCTTCCTACTCCCTGCGCAGGAAGTGATTCCCCTGGCTGTTGGATGGGGAGCCCAAAACGCTGGTGGGGCTCAGAGAAGGGGGCCCAGGCCCCACCTCCAGTGGCCACCGTCTTGGAGCAGCAAAACCCCCATTGTGTTTGTGCCGAGAGCAGAGGGGACCCATTCCTCATTGTTCCCTCCAATGGAAATGACTGCAGGGTGTGTCTAAGGAGATGGGGCCTTGGACGACCTCCTTGAGCTTCCTCCAAACCCGTGTTCAAAGGAGGAAATCAGGTTGAAGTCCATGAACCCAAAAGGATCACAGGAGTAGCAGGAAGACTGGTCTCGAGTGAGGATGTCCATTCGATCCCCATGGCCTCTCGTGAATCTGAGTTTGGACAGTGACACCAGACCGTCCAAACCCACAGCCTTTAGCACTCGGTAAGCCTCCCAGAGCTCAGCAGTGACTCCAGGGAGTGGAGGGGACTGCAAGCGGGCCGAGGCTGGCGTGGGTCAGGTGCCGATGCCTCCCTCCTCACAGAGGGAGCTCCTGCAGTGACCCTGCGGCCCCCTCTCCGCCTCTGCACTCTCTGGCACCACTTACCTGCTCAGTGAGTTTGGAATAAAGAGCAAGATGCGTGCTTTTTCCAGAACATTTCTGAACTATGTTCCTTTTTCTCTCTTCCATGCCAACAGTGCCCATTTGCTTTCCAGATCTTTCTACTTTATTACCCGGATGATTGCAATGCAGGCAATATACCTTCTTCCCTCTCCCCCGCCCCGTCTTCATCAATCTGCCTACCACGTTTCCATCAGAACCGTCTTTCCGAAACACAGATTCGATTCAATCACCCTTCGGTAGTCTCTAGCACCCGCCATGGTCTACCCCTTCTGCTTTCTCTCTGGCGTCATTTTTCATGCTCAACAATCACTCAAATAGACTCCTCTCTGCCTTGGAAACTCCTCCTGCCTCATGTCCTCATCAGATCCAAGACACCGCTCCTCATCCTGCAAGACACCACCCTTGATTCATGTCTTCCGTAAAGATCTTCGCACGTGCCGCCTTCCCCATGCCCGGCATTCGCACAGTAGATGCCACTTCTGCATTTTCCCTACATGTCCAGCCCCACCTCCCACTTGGGGATGGCAGCGTAAGAACTTCCACCCCAGGAGGAGCTACTGACCTGCCTGTCCAGACACACACATTTATTTGCTAATATAATATTTTTAATCTAGAGAGCTGGGTTACCGAGTCTTAAAAGCTCTTCACATGGTAGCAAAACTTGGAACTCTGGTTAAAGGCAACTGCTAGTCTCTGGCACTGTGGCTGTCCCACGGGACATCAGCGGCTTAGCGAGTAAATCTGGTGGGGCCGGGGCGGGGGCCGTGGCTGCGACACTCTCTTGTTTCTTATTTTGTGCGTTGGTGCATTTTGCCCAGATCACTGGGAGGTGAGAGGATTAACTAGGAGCAGCCACGCTCTGAAACCCTTCCCCAGCCCTCGTCACTGCTCACTTTCCAGTAAAGCCTCTATCATACTGTATGTGCAACTAATTTGGATGGGAAAGGGACATGTGAGTCTCTCCTGCTAGACTCTGAGCCCTTTAAATCAGAGTCTGTGTATTTTCTATCCCTTGCATAAGACACAGCATAGGAATATTCAATAAATGTTTACAGAATAAATTTTAAAAAGTGATGTATTGTTTTCAAACACTCTTAGCTGTTTCCTGCTTCTAGCAGGGAAAAGACAAAGTGAATGAAAAGGAAAATGGGCCGGGAGTTGAAGCCTGTCTGCACTAACTAGTTCTAATTCTGGAACAACAGAATGGATTTTGCTGGAGGAAGAAGTGTGTGCTGCGTGAGTGTGGCCATAAAACCGTGTGAATGCAATGGGGGACGTGGGTGGGGCTAGGACCTGCTCCAACATTGTCCATTTGCCCCGGCTTTTGAAAAGTACAACAGGGTGATTTTGGTGCACGAGGGTAGATAAAGCCGAAAAGCAAAATACAAGGTTGGTGCCTTTCAAGGCAGCAGTGTTCACACTTCCGTCCTTGTAGGTTAATTAATCATCTTGCTGAAGAATGGATTGGGCACCAGGGAGCTGTGTTTTGCCACAGTATTTCGCAAGTGCAGAAATGATCCCATCCATAACTGAGCCCGCTGGATTTGCTCGGCTGTTGCTGTGTGACAACGGGGAAACTCATTTTTTTACCAGGAGAATGTGGGAAGGGGAGACAGGAAGAGAAGGCAAACAGGGTGGATAATGAAGTGATCCTGGTAGACAGACAGACAGCTCAGGTGTTCCTCTGGGGCCGAATATGAAAGGTGTTCGTGGGCAGATACTGTCTCTGTGGACTGAGTAGTTGGATCACTCAGGGAAGCAACCCATGCATTTAATCTAATGCTAGCTTTTTATCTTTGCACCTGATCCCATGGGTTACATAGAGTTTTTTGATTACCACAAAAAAAATTTTTTAAAGCTTGCACCAAATTAAATGTATACAGCACATCTCCAAATGGTAAAAGTGCCAAATATAAGGAAAACATGAAAGAAATATCGTGTGTATATATGTATACGTGTGATATATATTATATAATATGTGTGATCGAATATATATTACATATTGTATATTATATATAATCACACATATACACATATATATACTTTAAAGGAATGAGAAATAGCTAATAGACTAAAGGCTAAAATTTCAGAAACACGACCAAAGCAGTGGTTCCTTATACACTGACGGGACTCCTAGTGAGAATCATGTACAGTGAGAACTCACAAAGCTTATCTCAGGTTTTTCAGTATTGCTAAGGTTGCTCATTGATTATATTCCTTCTGTCCCTTTAAGTATCATATTTATGGTTAGCATTTCACCAAATTGAAGACTCCACCAATTATGACTCACCACTATTTTATATATCCCAAAATGAAAAGAAAGGCATTTAAAATATGACGTAGTACTTTGGATTTTTGTGTTATGGCCCTTTCAGTAAATGTAAGAGCTCTTTGAAGATATATTTTCATCATGTGTATGTATAAAGGAAAATTAAATACAAATAAAGTGTGATATTCCTAACACTTCCACATATCAGAATGAAACTCTTCTCGATCTCTTTCTGAGTCACTGCTCACGTTTAGTGCAGTAACATCCTCCACCATCAAAACAAAGCCTTTCTTAAAGGAGCCCCACTGGCGTCTGTGGGCACTTCCCAAGGCTTTGCAGCTATCCTGTAGTTGTAACACTAGCATTTTCTTCATTCTTCTCAAAAAGACATAATGGAAGATTTTTAGACAACAGTCAGGGTTCATATTCCCTCTGCAGATAGTCCTTACGTGCTTTACCCACCGGACACTGAAGGAGTAACAGAGCATTCCCAAAAATGGGAAAACAGCCAGGCTCGAGTGTGCACAGGCAAAGAGCTGTGTCTTCATGCTGCCTGGCCAGCATCACAGACTGTAAAGACACGTCTGGTAACATGTTTGCCCCCCTGACATGAGTGTTTGTGGAGGCTAGGAGTGAAGAACAGTATGGAAATGGAGAAATCGGACCAGCGTGAAGGGAGGGAGACAACGAGACAGACAAGCGTATGATGTCAGGCAAAGTCCACTGGAGGGGGGTAACTGTGGCTCAGTCGCACAGGGGAGCCCTGGAGACTGCAGGTGTCCCAGTCGGGGGCTGGGAGCTGGAGTCTTTGTGCCCCTGCACCTTCTTCTGTCCCTGGCTGCACAGGGCAGGCCTGGGAGGGAGAGCCCAAAGCGGGTGCCTGCAGCCCACCAGCAAACAGGCAGGTGCTGGGCGTGAAGGTGCTGGGTGCTAGGTGCCGAGAGCTGATGCTCCTGAGAGTGGCAGAGGGGTCCCAGAGGACTGACAGTGTCTGTGACACATCCGAATGTCAAAGACAATAAAACTTGAAAAACGCATGGCTTACAATCGATGAAATATGGTACTGAGGATCAAATTTTCTTGTTCATTGTTCACCCTGCCGCATCCTTAGAAGAGAGGCAAAGGTGAAACGCTTTAACAAATGAAAACAGAATGGCCTTTCTGAAACGTTATTTAGTTCAATCAGGATGATTTTAAAAGCTCTTCCTAAAAATCCTAACAGAAAATGCTTGGAAGAGATCAAGTGACCCGTCCCTCCGCACTGGGACTTGAACGTCTAAGCTTTAGAAGCAGACACCTCTGTGTTATTTACTCTGTGACAAGAACCTCAAAAGCTGGACGATTCAAACCCCCTCAGTCACCTATTCCAGAGCCCATGCTTTGCCAATTTCAAAGAAATTAAAAACAAACCTTTCCACCTGTGGCGAGCCTTCCCTAGGGTTTGTGGATTGCTAAGACAAGATAAAAGCCAGGTATTTTTAAAACACAATAATGCCCTGTGCTACATCGATGACAGACATTCTCCAGTGTTCGCAGGGCACCTAGAAACCACCACAGAGTTTTCAGAAAGCAATCTTGAAACATCAGGAACCTTGAAAATGTTCAAACTTTTTGACCCTATAGTTCTACTTCTGTGAATTTACCCTCACAAATAGTCACCACATTAGGCCAAAAAAAAATTGTACGGAAAAGGTTTTCTGAAGTAAGTAAATTAGGGGTTGGCCCAAAAAAGCCGGTTCATTTTTTCTGTAAGATAGAGGACACATTTTTCAATTTCACCACTAACTTCATTGATTTGGATATTTTGAGTGTGTCAGCTGCCTCCCACGTGGCACAGTGTTGATCGTTCTGTTATTGCTAGGATTTGACTGCTGTCAACTTCACCGGATCTGC